TCATCGTGGGTAGGAGTGGATACAGAATTTTTTTTTTTTAAGACAGAGTCTTGCCCTGTTGCCCAAGCTGGAGTGCAATAGTGCGATCTCAGCTCGCTGCAACCTCTGCCTCCTGGGTTCAAATGATTCTCCTGCCTCAGCTTCCTGAGTAGCTGGGATTACAGGCACCTGCCACCACACCCAGCTAATTTTTGCATTTTCAGTAAAGACGAGGTTTCACCATGTTGGCCAGGCTGGTCCCACCTCAGCCTCCCAAAGTACTGGGATTACAGGCATGAGCCACCACACCTGGCTTTTTTTTTTTTTTTTTTTTTTTTTTTTTGAGATGGAGTCTTTCTCTGTTGCCCAGGCTGGAGTGCAGTGGTGCAGTCTCAGCTCACTGCAACCTCCCTCCGCCTCCTGGGTTCAAGCGATTTTTCTCACCTCAGCCTCCCCGGTAGCTGGGATTACAGGTGCCCGCCACCATGCCTGGCTGATTTTTGGATTTTCAGTAGAGATGTGGTTTCACTATGTTGCCAGGGTTGGTCTCAAACTCCTGACCTCAGGTGATCCACCCACCTCAGCCTGCTGAGATTACAGGCGTGAGTCACAGCACCCGGCCTTAGATACAGAATTTGAGGGGCTATCCCTACCTTTTAAGGCAAAGAGGTAATTCCAAAATAAGAATAGTAGCAATAAAAATCTAAGTTTTTGCCAGAGGCTCCTGCCCACAGCCTTCTGCCTCTCTGAGGGGGTGGGGGGGGGCGCTCCTGCATCTTACAGGCTTCACGCACTGTTGCCATATAGAGCGGGTAGCCTCGCACGTCCTGGTTTGGTGTTGTGTTCTCTCTGCTGTGCCACCAGCTGAAAAGCAGACTGTGTTGCCCGAATCATTTGAAATCCCAAAATGTGTCATAACATTTAAGTACATGGAGAAAAAGAAATTGACCTCATTAGTAATCAAAGAAATGCAAATAAAAGTAATGCAATAAAAGAAACGTAATAAAGGTAATGAGAAGTTATGGGGAAAAGTCGTTGTAATAACTAGGACTGAAGAGGTTCAGTGGTCGGGTGCAGTGGCTCACACCTGTAATCCCAGCACTTAGGGAGGCCAAGGCAAGTGGATCACGAAGTCAGGAGATCGAGACCATCCTGGCTAATATGGTGAACCCCCATCTCTACTAAAAATACGAAAAATTAGCCTAGCGTGGTGGCATGCACCTGTAGTCCCAGCTACTCAGAATACTGAGTCAGGAGAATCGCTTGAACCCGCAAGGTGGAGGTTGCACTGCACTTCAGCTTGGCGACAGAGCAAGACTCTGTCTCAAAAAAAAAAAAGGAACAGAAAAAGAAAAGGTTCAGCAAGGCCAGCTCTTCTCAGCTCTTCTCTGCACTACAGGAGGGACTATAAATGGTTTATCTAAGGTCAAATTGACAATATGCATAACACAACATCCCACATGAGCTACTCACTTCTTTTCTAAGGATTTACTCTAAATGATCTAAGACCTGCATCACGTGTTTGTGTATAATGGTGTGTCTCAAAGTGTTTTAGAATAGAACCCACATCAATGTCAACGTTGTAAAGGGTTAAGTAAATCACATGTGTGTGATGGAATGTAATTCGTCCATGAACATTAAGCACCTGAGGGGTTTTCATTAGGATGGAAGAAGTAAAACCCGGGGTTAAGTGATGCACCTTAGGTTCACACTTCTTGGCTTAGAACTCTTTCCCAAATCCTTGCAAGCTGTGTAATGTGGAGAAATCATTTAACCTACCTATGCCTCAGTTTTCTTATCTGTAAAAGGGGGACATAGTGGTAATGGTAACGTCAAAATGAAATAATTCACTTGGCAGGCTTAGCACCATGCATGGTGTCCAGCAAATGTTAGTATTGAGCAAGTTACTTAACACCTGGGACTCCATTTCCGCCTCTGTGGAATGGAAATGACAGTAGCTTCTACCTCAGAAGGATGTTGGTGAAGCTTAAATGAGTTAGTACGCAGAAAGCGCCTGGCATGGACCTAGCACACAGCAACCACCGGGTAAGCGGCTGCTGCTGTTGGTGCTACAAGTGTCGAGAAATGTTCACATAACACCAGGTACCTAGTAGACTATTCAGGCTGTTCAAAAACTCACATGCTGACACACACATAGGCAAGAAGATATGCATCAAAGTAACTATCTCTGAGTAGAAAGATTATAAGCAATTTTTGTTTTTTTTTGTAATTTTTTGTATTTTCCAACATTCATTTTCAACAATGAATACATTAATAATTTAAAAAGCCAACAGCTATCTTAGACTTGAAACATTTTTCAATGTTAGCCTCTCCCATGGTGAATCAAAACTGTTGAGTCCCCTGAACTTCCTTCCAGTTAATGGTTTTTTCCCTATTATATGGCCCTAGTCTTTGATCATTCATAGGTAGTAGCTTAATATTTCCGCACATTAAGCTGAATAACAGTGTTCTTCAGATACTTTCTTTTGGTTGTGTTAGAACTGTGATTCTAAACTCTGGAGGCGTGCTAGAGTCATTTGGGAGATTTTGAAATATACTGGCTCGTCATTAGACGAGTTACATCCAAGTATTTGGAGATGAGCCCTGGGCATTGGTATCTTTTAAAGACTCACACGGGCCGGGCGCGGTGGCTCAAGCCTGTAATCCCAGCACTTTGGGAGGACCGAGGCGGGTGGATCACGAGGTCGAGAGATCGAGACCATCCTGGTCAACATGGTGAAACCCCGTCTCTACTAAAAATACAAAAAATTAGCTGGGCATGGTGGCTCGTGCCTGTAATCCCAGCTACTCAGGAGGCTGAGGCAGGAGAATTGCATGAACCCAGGAGGCGGAGGTTGCGGTGAGCCGAGATCGCGCCATTGCACTCCAGCCTGGGTAACAAGAGCGAAACTCCGTCTCAAAAAAAAAAAAAAAAAAAAAAGACTCACACGGAAATCCTAATGTGTGGCCCAGTAGTGAACAGCACCCTGCATTTGATACTACCATTTCCTGCCTTGCAGAGAGTTTTGCCCCGTAAACAGGGCTCCCCTCTTCCCCTAATGTGAGCCCTACCAGTGTTTCCCAAAATTGAGGATAAGAATTCTCTGAAGTGTTTGTTTAAAATACAGATAGGGCCCCGTGCAGTCCCTCACTCCTATAATCCCAGCGCTTTGAGAGGCTGAGGTGGGAGGATGATTTGAGGTCAGGAGTTCAAGACCAGCCTGGTCAACATGATGAAACCCTGTCTCTACTAAAAATAGAACAGTTAGCTAGATGTAATGGCAAGCGCCTATAATTCCAGCTACTTGGGAGGCTGAGGCACAAGAATCGCTTGCACCCAAGAGGAAGACGTTACAGTGAGCTGAGATTGTGCCACTGTACTCCAGCCTGGGCAATAGAGTGATACTCAAGTCTCAAAAAAAAAACCAAAAACAAAAAACAAAACAAAAAAAAGATGGGCCAGGCATGGTGCTTCATGTCTGTAATGCCAACATATTAGGAGGCTAAGGTAGGAGGATTTCATGAGGCCAGGAGATCAAGACCAGACTGGACAACATAGCAAGACCCCATTTCCACAAAAACATCTTAAAAACTAGCAAGGCATGGTGGTGTGCCTGTATTCAGTCCCAGCTACTTGGGAGGCTGAAGTGAAAAGATTGCTTGAGCCCAGGAGTTAGAAGCTGTGGTGAGCCATGTTTGCACCACTGCAGCCAGCCAGGGTGATAGAGTGAGACCCTGTCTCAAAAATAAATATGTAAATAAAAATATAAATACAAATGCCTGGGCCCTAACCCAGACCTGCCAAGTCTGAACTTTCAGAGGGAGAGACTTGTTACTGTGTATATTTTACAAGCCCGCTGGGTAATGCTTCCCATCAGAGAGATGAAGGGACTCCGTGAGAGACTACTTTCTCATTCTTGGCTGCACGCTGGGAATCCCTGGGGACACTTGGAGAAGCTCAGATGCCTGGCCGCCTCCCCCCCATTTACCACCCACATGTCTAAGATCGTAATGTAATGTGTCTAGGATCCTGCCTGGCATCTGGGTTTTTGAAGTCCTCCTGGATTCTAATCCACAGTCAAGGTGAACAGCCACCAGCAATGATGGTTCCCAAAGTAAGCCCCTGGGCATCACCAGCAGCCTCAGCATCACCTGGGAACTTGCAGATGACAAAGCCCCCACCCAGACCTGCCAGATGAGAAGCTGGGGGCAGGGACCCAGTGATCTGTGTCTCGCCAGTTCCAGGACTCGGTGACTCTGATTCTCACTAGAGTTTCAGAACCGCTGCCGAAAAGCAATGTTGTTAAAAGCAGGTTCCCAGATTGCCTCCCAGAGATTGCACAGGATGTCTGGACTGAGCCGGGAGTGTGCTCCAAGTGGTCCAGGACGAGACCTTGAGAAGCACTGCTGAAGGGTTAACCCCTGTTCCCTCGGGCATCTCTGTTCTCACGAGGCAGGATCTCACTCTGTTGCCTGGGCTGGAATGCAGTGGCGCGATCACAGCTGACCGCAGCCTCGAACTCCTGGGCTCAAGCAGTTCTCCCTCATCCTTTGGAGTTGCTGAGACAGGTAGGCACTACCAAGCCGGGCTAATTTTTAAATTTTATGTAGAGACAGGGTCTTACTGTTGCACAGGCTGTTCTCGGACTCCCGGCCTCAGGACAGCCTCCCACCTTGGCCTCCCACAGTGTTGGGATTACAGGCATGAGCCACAGTGCCGGGTCCCCCTACTTGGGCATTTTCAAGTTTATAAGGACGTTGACATCTCTGGAGTACACCCAACATCCGTGTATTCTCGTGGGCCGCCCGCTGCTGCCCCTTCTTGGCCCTTGATGCCAAAACACATGGCTGTCTTCCAACCATAATTAATGGGATATGTTTTCTTTAAAGCTGGCAAGTACTGTGGCTGGGAACCAAGTTTTCAAAGTTGCTGACCTGAGTTTGACTTTGAACGCCAGTCCCAGAAGCCGATGAAGCCATGTTCCTTCTGTGCCTGACGTGTGTGCCTCTTCACTTTGTAGGTTCTATAATCATCCCGCCTCAGCATGGTCCGCTCATCCCCCGACTGGTAACGATCAAGGCCAGAGGAGGAGAGGTCGGCAGGCAGCCAGGAGCCAGAAGCCGAGGGGTCGTGAGGACCTGGAGGCCAGAGGCCCGGCCCAAGCCCACAGCCTGCCTGTCCGTGTGAGGGAGGGTCCATGGGAAGCCGGAGGAAGGTCAGAGCATGTGATGAAGAAGGCAGTGTGGGAAGAAGAGGTGAGAATGTCGGCCCCTGCCAAGTGGCAGAACGTCAGCCTGGAAAGCTGGAGCCAGCCACGGAAACTAGGGAGGCAGATGTCTGATGGGGATAGGGAGAGACTGTTTCAAGACCTGCACCCATTCATTCAAGGAGAACACGTGTTGAATTCTCAGAACAAAGGGAAATCCCGCTCACTGCCTAAAGTTCTTTCCCCTGAGAGCCTGGGTTGCACGGAAATTCCCATTCCATTACATGACAGGCATTCACCTAAATTGCCACCGTATCCTCCCACTTGCGCACCAAATCTGGACTCCGCGAGGAATTCGGAGAAGGGTGGCTGCTCGGCCCCATTTCCCCGGCCTAAGTTTGGGAGGCCTCTGAAGCCCCCATCTTATGGCTCACACCAGCAATCGAGGGGAGGAGCAGACAGCAGTGACTCTCAGGACAGCCAGCAGACGGATGCCTATGTCCCCAGGCACGAGCTCTGCCTGTCGGACCCGGGCTTGGAACCTCCAGTGTACGTGCCTCCGCCCTCTTACAGGTCACCCCCACAGAACATCCCAAACCCCTACTTAGAAGACACGGCGCCCGTAGATGTGTGTGGCGGTCACAGCCAACAGCAGTCTCCGACTGAGAAGGCCGGGGCCAGCGGTCAGCCTCCTTCGGGCCCCCCTGGAACTGGGAATGAGTATGGTGCCAGCCCCTGCTCGCCTCAGGGGCTCCCTGCACACTCCCGACCTGTCACTGCCTACGACGGCTTCGTTCAGTACATTCCCTTTGATGATCCACGGTTACGACATTTTAAACTAGCTCAGCCCCAGGGTTTCTGTGAAGATATAAAACTTGACAATAAATCATATAACTCCAGTCCTGTCACTGCCCACGAGCCGGCTCATGGAGGAATGCAGGCTGATGGTGCTACCTGGAATCCACAGAGCCTGATACCCCCGTCAGGGGATGAGAGGGGCCCGGTCTTGGCCAATCTCAGCCCCCGGTGGCTGTGGGGCCAGCTCCCTGAGGATGGGGAAAACAGTGGCCTCCCCAACCAGAGAGACCGCTGTGTGGCAAGGGGACAGTGGCCTGACGTGAGAGGCGGCCAGCACAGGGCACACCGAGAGGCAAGCTTCCTCCCCATACACCCAGGGCGAGAGCACCTGTGAAACTCAAACCAAGCTCAAAAAGTTCGAAGCTGGGAGTCGCACCAAGAAAAGTTCAAAGAAAAAAATGAACGAGACTATATTTTGTTTGGTTTCTATCCCAGTGAAATCAGAGTCACATCTGCCAGATAGAGATATGGACAACAATGACTTAAAGCCCAGCGCTGATCAAAAGAATGGGTCTGATAAGAGCCCAGCTCTGCAAGAACAGAGTCTGCTGAGCATGTCTTCCACCGACCTGGAGCTGCAGGCCCTCACAGGAAGCATGGGGGGTCGAACAGAGTTCCAAAAACAAGAGCTGGGGGAACCAGAAGAAGACAGACAAACAAATGACCTCAGATTCATCCACCTTACAAAGCACAGAGAACTCAAGCATTCTGGCTCTTGGCCAGGGCACCGGTACAGGGATCAGCAAACACAAACCAGCTTCTCCGAGGAACCCCAAAGCTCGCAGCTGCTCCCTGGTGCAAAGCCGGGAGGGTCGAGTCATGCATCCCCGAGTCCCAAAGGTTCAGACCCTGCTGCCTCCGAAGCTCAGACGCACACGGCATTCCCTTACGGTGACCACAAACAGAGGCCAAGTGCCCGTCACCTGAAAGGTCACAGGTCCCTCAGCCCGTCCAGCAACAGTGCTTTCTCAAGGACTTCCTTGTCCGTAGATCAGGCACTGGTGCCAAAAGCAGGCCGAAGTCAGCCCTGCGTGGATGTCCACAGGCTCGGAGGCCACCCTGAGCCTAAGCGGGAGGTGGTGAAGGGGGAGCCCACAGGCCCGTGCAACAGTAAACAACTCTTCGGGCAGTTTCTCCTGAAACCGGTCAGCCGTCGTCCCTGGGATTTGATCAGTCAGTTAGAAAGTTTTAACAAGGAGCTCCAGGAAGACGAAGAAAGCAGCAGCAGCAGCAGCAGCAGCAGCAGCAGCAGCAGCAGCAGCGAGGAAAGCGAGGCGGAGCCGCAGCAGGGGAACGTGGGCTTCCGCGGAAACAGCCCGGAAATGAGGGGGGAGCCACAGCCGAGGATGTGGGTGCCAGAGAGCCCCGTGTGCAGGTCGGGAAGAGGTGAGAGTAAGTCTGAGAGCTGGAGTGACGAGTGGGGGCCTGGCCACCCGCGTGCCTGGCCTCCATCCCCGGGCCGCTGTCGCGCGGAAGACGGTGGCGGTGCACCTTTCTGGTCAGCAGATGGAAGCGTGAGTGTACAGAAGAGACACCCGGAGGTTAGCAACGGCATGGACGGGCTAGCAGGCAGTCCAGTTCCTGTGACGAGCATGTCTTCAAGATCAAGGGACGCAAAACCAGTGCCCCTGTCCTATCCAGAGGAACCTAGGGAGCCCCAGGGAGGTCAGAAATTCACCAGTGCTTTCAGCTCTGTGAAACCGAGCGAAGCGGTCCCTCGGCAGGTTGACAGCGGTGGAGAGAGGGGCGCAGGGCTCCCGCTGTCCCTGTCTAACAAGAACCGAGGGCTCTCAGCTCCAGACTTACGGTCCGTGGGGCTCACCCCTGGGCAAGAGCAGGGTGCCAGCGAGCTAGAGGGGTCTTTGGGTGAAGCGAGTGTGGTAGAAATCCCCCCAGGTGAGTCCTTGCAAGCCAGAGCTGCAAGGATCCTGGGCATTGAGGTGGCAGTGGAGTCCCTCCTGCCGGGCACCCAGAGAGCAGGACAGAACCATCCTGCTGAGCCTGACGCAAGTGCCTGCACCCCAGAGTCCCCCCAGGAAGAGTCACCATCTAGCCCAGCACCGGCAGCTGTCCCCAGGGTGTCCACCGATTCCTTTTATGGCAGGCGGAAGTGCGGCTGGACCAAGAGCCCTCTCTTTGTAGGAGACAGGGACAGTGCCAAGCGGGCTCCTCAGGCGTTTGAGGACTCAGATGTGGACGGGGTGGTCACCAGCACAGCCCCGGTCCCTGAGCCTGAGCCCAGCCCTTCGGAGTCCAAGTTCTTCGAACAAAAGGATGTGGAGGCAAAACCACCCTTCAGGTCCACTTTGTTCCATTTGGTAGAAGGACCCCCAAGTGTGGCAGGCTCAGAAAAGAGACTCAGAAGCCCTTCCAAAGTGATCGAAAGTTTACAAGAGAAGTTAGCCTCCCCGCCTAGGAGAGCGGACGCTGACCGCCTGATGAGAATGAAAGAGGTGAGTTCCGTGTCGCGGATGAGATTCCTGAGCTCCAGGAATGCCGACTGCCTGGAGGAGGCTGAGGAACTGAAGGCCACCACGAAGGGCCAGGCCGGGCTCCCGGGAGGCCTCGTGTCTCCTGGCGGCGGGGACCGCGCCTGGAGAGGGGGCCACTCACTCACTGTCTCCAAGGACTGCATCTCCAAGGAAGAGAAGGAGCATCCAGCAGCGCAAAAGGAGAAGAGCCTGGATCAAGACTTCTGGTGCCCAGGTGAGGAATCAGGCAGGCAGGGGCTCGGCATACATTTGGAGTCCTTATTTTAAAAATACCAGGTTGGTGGATAATGTAAATCTGTATATTCAGATAGATCAAGTTGACCCTGGGAAATGTTTTATCAAAAGAGTCCTCAGTTTCAAAGAATGGTGCAGAAGCTGTCTTTAAAATTCAAGATCTTGCAGTATATTTCGTTTATTTTATTTTTTTGAGATAGCATCTCACTGTGTTGCCTAGGTGGGAGCTGAGTGGCGCAGTCTCTGCTCACTGCAACCTCCGCTGCTTCCTGGGCTCAAGCGATCCTCCCACCCCAGCCTCCCGAGTAGTTGGGGCCACAGGCGTGCGCCACCATCTCCAGCTAAATTTTAACTTTTTTGTAGAGACGAGATCCCACTATGTTACTCAGACTGGTCTCGAACTCCTGAGCTCAGGTGATCCTACTGCCTTGGCTACCCAAAGTGCTAGAATTGTAGGCATGAGCCACTATGCTCAGCCTCTTGCAGTGTCTTTCAAGTGAATATATCTTTAGAGAAAGTATGTAAACCACTACGTGTTGTCTACATAAACAACTTTTCAAGCCTCTTAATGTGAAGAGGTAAATCAATCAAGCATTCCAGCCTTGGTGCCGGCCCCTGGGAATCTCGCTGGAGACACAGCACATGTACTCTCTACTCTCCTCAAGTCACAGGCACGTTCACCCTAACAGCCCTCAGTGCCCTTTACCAGCCTAAAAAAGATGGCCTAGCAAGTTGATGGAATAAACCACCATTCCCATTCTGCTGTCTTACACTGGCACCCTCCACAATTCTTTACACTTCCATTTTTTTCCCTTTTCCACTGCCATGCGATTCATGAAACTTTCAGGTTTCAGTAAAAATGTTTCCTAGACAAAATTCAGTTTGTGCTTTCTCAACACCCCAGCCCCCAGAAAACCTACCCACCTGCCATGTTTCTGAAGGTCCCCTAAGTTTCGACTGCTAAACTCAGGTGAGGTGTCTTCCTTTGAGTCCTCTCCATCGTCTTCCCTTAATATGTTTTTGGAGCCTCCTCTGATAACATAAAACCACAAGGCAGGTTCCCATCCACGGTGACAGAGATTTCCCCCCATCGTGACTTTACCATCTCAACTCTCAAAGAAACAGGTTCAGAGAATTCTTGGCATGTCTGTTTCAGGCATTTTCTTCAGAGCCTGGGAATCAATCAATTATAGATCCTAGAAATGATCAGAATGTCAAAAGATAAATGTCAAAAGATAAATGTCAAAAGATCCCCATCATAAGCCATGGACTGGAAGGGACCTTCTGTCATTTAGTCCAAGCCTTCTTTTTTTTCTTTCTTTTTTTTTTTTTTTTTTTTTTTTGAGGCAGAGTCTCACTCTGTCACTCAGGCTGGAGTGGCGCCATCTCGGCTCCCTGCAACCTCCGCCTCCTGGGTTCAAGCGATTCCCCTGCTTCAGCCTCCCAGGTAACTGGGACTACAGGCACGCGCCACCATGCCTGACTTATTTTTGTATTTTTAGTAGAGACTGGGTTTCACTGTGTTGGCCAAGCTGGTCTTGAACTCCTAACCTTAGGTGTCTGCCTGCCTTGGCCTCCCAAAGTGCTGGGATTACAGGTGTGAGCTACTGAGCCCAGCCCAATGTAAGCTGTTTTACAATAAGGGAAAAAAGGAAGCCTTGGCCGCCACGAGTTGAGTTAGGGGAACGCCCTCTCCTGAGCCGGGCCCTTCCTTTTTCCTTCCCAGACTCCAGCAGGTGGTTCTGCTCCTCCCACCCCTTTCTGTTTTCTGATTTGAAACCCAAGAATTTTGAAGCAGATAGGAGACAGCAGCTGTTTCGGTTGGAAGTAGTCAGAGATTTCCATTGAACAAGAAAATGTACATGGGCACGTTCAAGTTTTCCCCAAATACAGTGAGGTTCTTAGGGGTGTTAGCAGGCGTTGCTCATCTGCTCCGTATGCAAAATACGTGATTGAACTAATCCTTGGTCGGGGCTCCGCTGGATCCTCTAGTTGGACGCGTTGGGGCTCTGCTGTGGTAGAGAATACCGGGAATGTGAAGGCTTTGCCATTATGGTGGAAAAAGTGTTACCTGCCCATTTTCTGAGCTGCTGGGGTTTATTATAGCCTTCAGCGTAATTCCTCTGCAGTCCCCCCTTCCTCCTCAAAAAATATGCCCACTAGACTTTCAGGCTAGTTAAAACTTGTCATGGACTTCTTTTTTTTTTTTTTTTTTTTTTTTTTTGAGACGGAGTTTCGCTCTTGTTACCCAGGCTGGAGTGCAATGGCGCGATCTCGGCTCACCGCAACCTCCGCCTCCTGGGTTCAGGCAATTCTCCTGCCTCAGCCTCCTGAGTAGCTGGGATTACAGGCACGAGCCACCATGCCCAGCTAATTTTTTGTATTTTTAGTAGAGACAGGGTTTCACCATGTCGACCAGGATGGTCTCGAACTCTCGACCTCGTGATCCACCCGCCTCGGCCTCCCAAAGTGCTGGGATTACAGGCTTGAGCCACCGCGCCCGGCCTGTCATAGACTTCTAAAGCAAGTTTCTTCATCTGTAAAATCAGGATGATTTTCTCAGTTCTGTGGCTTCCTGAGAATTGTAAGGAGTTTAAAATAAGACAAGTTAATCTTGTTATAATAAAATACCAGTTGGTAAATATTTCTATGTCTCAGTTCATGGATACCTATTTCAGGGAGGTTTTTTGTTTTGTTTGAGACAGAGTCTCATTCTGTTGCCCAGGCTGGAGTCCGGTGGCATGATCATAGCTCACTGTAGCCTTAAACTCCTAGCTCAAGTGATTCTCCAGCCTCAGCCTCCCAGGTAACTGGGACTACAGGCATGCACCAGCATACTCAGCTATTTTTTTTTTTAAGTTATTTGTAGAGATGGGGTCTTGCCACATTGCCCAGGCTGGTCTTAAATTCTTGGCCTCAAACAATCCTCCCGCCTCAGCCATGGTGCCCTGTCCAGGGAATATTTGATAAGACAAAATTTCCAGTTCAGAAAAGCACTTCCTTGATTTTTAGCTTGACCATTTAGAATGAGAAGGTCCAGTAGGTACCTAAAAACACCCAGGTAGTACACATTTTAATTTTAGCCAGTTACTAAAAACACCTTCCTCGTGACCTTTTTTTTTTTTTTTAACCATCACTACTAACAAGCAGAGAACCTAATTATTTTTTTCTCTTCTCCATCTGATACAGTTGCTAATACACCATAAAATGGCCAAAAATCTACAGGCAGAGAGCTACTCATGTTGACAGCTTCCTGGGGCACTTTCAAGTACAGTCATGTGTCACTTAATGACGGGGCTTACTCTGAGAAATGCATTGTTAGTAGTTTCATCGTTGCGTGAACACCTTAGAGAGTGCACGTCCACAAACCGAGATGGTAGAATCTACCACACTCCCAGGCTTCATGGTAGAGCCTATTGCTTCCAGGCTGTAAACATGTACAGCCTGTTACTGTGTGGAATTCTGCAGGCAACTGTAACACAGTGGTAAGCATTTGTGGATCTAAACACGTCTAAAGAAAAGGTACAGGCCAGGCATGGTGGCTCATGCCTGTGATCCCAGCACTTTGGGAGGCCAAAGCGGGCCGATCACTTGAGGTCAGGAGGTCAAGACCAGCCTGGCCAACGTGGTGAAACCCTGTCTCTACTAAAAATACAAGAATTAGCCAGGTGTAATGGTGGGCACCTACAATCCCAGCTACTTCGGAGGTTGAGGCAGGAGAATCTGGGAGGCAGAGGTTGCAGGGAGCTGAGATCATGCCATTGCACCCCAGCCTCAGCAACAGGAGTGAAGAAAGTCCATCTACAAATAAAAAAGAAAGAAAATTCACAGTAAAAATATGGTATAAAATATTAAAAAAGAAAGGACTGTGGGGCGTGATGGCTCACATGTGTTATCCCAGCGTTTTGGGAGGCTGAGTCGGGCAGATCACAAAGTCAATAGATCAGGACCATCCTGGCCAACATGGTGAAACCCCATTTCTACTAAAAATACAAAAATTGGCTGGGCATGGTGGTGCATGCCTATAGTCCTAGCTACTTGGGAGGCTGAGGCAGGAGAATCGCTTGAACCCGGGAGGAAGAGTTGCGGTGAGCTGAGATCAAGCCACTGCACTGCAGCCTGGTGACAAAGCGAGACTCTGTGTCAAAAAAACAAAAAACAAAAAACAAGGACCACTTTTTTAGGGCACTTACCATGAATGGAACTCGCAGGACTGGAAGTTGCTCTGGGCAAGTCAGTGAGTGGAGGTCCTGAATGCGAAGGTCTAGAAAATTCCTCTACACTGCAGTAGACTTTATAAACCCTGTACACTTAGGCTACACCACATTTGTTTAAAATTCATTGCACTATGACATGATGATGTCACTAGATGATAGGAGTTTTTCAGCTTCATTATCATCTTACGGGACCACTGTCATATGTGTGGCCCATCATTGACCAAAACGTTGTTCTGTGGTGCATGACCGTGGTTGGAGGGGAGAGCACCATTAGGGACGATTACTCACATCTGTTTGGCTCACGTGGCCCTTTATAGGCCTTTCATGTGATGGTCACCAGGCTTCAGTATTCAAAACCACTGGTTTTGAGAGCAGGTCACATGACAGAGGTAGTAAAACTGTTGACAGATGTCCACTCTTCCACTCACTGTTCCTTCACAAGTTTGAAGAGTCCCTTCACTGTTCCTCTAGGGTAGGCCTCAGTGCGTTGTCCTCAGCTGAAGGGGACCCCATAGCCTTGCTGGCATGTCACTGATAAGCTCTTGGACTTGGCTTTCCTTTTGAAGCATTTAATGATTTTAAACACGAGACTCCTCATCTCCTTCCCCGCCCCACTGCTGCCCCCATGACCGCAGCATGCTAGAACTGCTTCATTGCTCCTAAATCCGTGGCCCACTTAAATTCAGCCCGTGTGCCGGAACTGTAAAACAAGGCCATGCTGTGTCCACCTGCACCACCTCACCCTACACATACCCCCTTCTAGAACTTTATTATCTATGTTGCGTCATCAAGCGTCTTTATTTTAGATTAAAGTTGGTCATTTCAGCTCACATGTCTGTAGTGGTCTTTTGTGCCTCTGGTTAAGAAATCAGCAGTGCAAAGCCAGTTCAGGTCACGGACTCCCATCTTTGCTGGGTGACCTAGGCTCTAATGCAGAAGTGTCATCCCAGGCTCTCATCATACACGGAACCTCCTGGTTCCATCATCCTCTGTTGCAAACCCTGTTAATATGAATCCAAGGGAAGAAAAAAGAGGTACCTGTGTGAAGCCCGAAATGAAGGGAAGGGGGAAGGCTTCCTGATGCCAGATGGCTCCATTAGAAGGCTGGATGTTAGGACATCTTCGGGGCATTACTACCTTTTAAGGTAGGCCTCAGTGTGTTGTCCTCAGATGAAACGGATCCCACAGGAAACAGGATTCTTAATTCTCCAGGTAACCACCCTGTACCCTAGACCTGTGCTGTCCAATATCATAGCTCCTCATCATATACAGCTACTGGGCACTTGAAATATGGCTCATGCAAATTGAGAAGTACTGTACATGTAGGAGACACATCAGATTCTAAAGACTTAGTACAAAAAAAACCCTAAAATATCTCAATAATTTTTATATTGGTTACGTATTAAAATGATAATATTTTTAATATACTCGGTGAAATAAAATATACTATAAAACTAGTTTCACCGGTTTTTATTTGTTTTAACCTAGCTACTAGAAAATTCAAAATACTGATGACTGGGCGTGGTAACTCATGATTATAATCCCAGTACTTTGGGAGGCAGAGGTGGGAGGATTATATGAGCCCCAAACCAGCCTGGGCTACATAGTGAGACCCCCAGCTCTACAAAAAATAAAAAACAAAATTAAGCCTGGTAGTGGATGTCTCTAGTCCCAACTACTTGGGAGGCTGAGGCAGGAGGATCGCTTGAGTCTAGGAGTTCAAGGCTGCAGTGAGCTGTGACCGTGCCACTGCACTCTAGCCTGGGTGACAGAGTGAGACCCTGTCTTTAGGAAATAATACAATGTTTCGTGGCCCACATTATACTTTTATGGGACCCAGACAGTCCATGAGCTGAAGAAGGAGCCCATGGGACTGCAGGCGGCAGGTTTGTCCTGTGGAGGTGTCTGTGGTGTGCCTGGCACAAAAGACCACTAAAAAGATGTGAGCTGAAATGGCCATTTGTAATCTAAAGACACTTGATATGATAGGTACAACACAGCACAGATAATAAGGGCCCCAAAGGGTGTGTGCATTGGGTAGTGTGGTACAGACAGACATGGCATGGCCTGTTCAGTGCCCAGTGTTATGTAATGTGAGGCTTAGCCTGGAAGAGACTGAGCATCTTAATAATAGATGCTCCCGGTAGCCAGAAGTGTGACCTCCACATGTTCTCATCATTTAGTGACTGCCCACCTTCTTCTCAACGGAGAAAAAGACACCTCTGCTCGCAGGAGGACCCTCTCAGGTGAACACTGTGAGGCTGATTGAGCACAGAAGCGAAGCACCCAGCTATTAATGTCTTACAACGTTTCATGGATGTCATTAAACTTCAGTAGTCAGAAGGAACTTATGTGAACTCCCCTTCCTTTTAGCCAGACTGCCCCTGCATGCCGATGGTGATGTCTGAGCAGGCGCAGACTCCTCTTCCTAGTGCAGAGACTGTCCCATCTGGTTGGTGATGGAGGACTCCAAGTGCTCTCAGCGCTGTCTCAGTCGCCACAGTCGTGGTACCTGTTGTGTCGTAAACCTGTCTCAGCCAGGTTGAAAAGGAGTCAGGAGGATGTGTAAGACATTTTGCTGCTGGAGAAACTGGAATGTCTATGGCCTTTGCAATGCACAGTTGTCCAGATGGATTTCAGAAAAGATTTTTTTTTTTCTTTTTCTTTTTTTCTGAGATGGAGTCTCACTCTGTCGCCCAGGCTGGAGTGCAGTGGTGCGATCCCAGATCTCAGCTCACTGCAACCTCCGCCTCCCAGGTTCAAGTGATTCTCCTGCCTCAACCTCCCAAGTAGCTAGAACTACAGGCATGCACCACCACGCCTGGCTAATTTTTGTATTTTTCGTAGGGACAAGGTTTCACCATGTTGGCCAGGCTGGTCTCGAACTCTTGACCTCAGGTGATCCACCTGCCTCAGCCTCCCACAGTGCTGGGATTACCAGTGCAAACCACCTAGCCCAGCCCAAAGATTGTTTTTCTAACTGTCAAATCCTGCCAGATTTCCTTCTTTCCTTTCCTTTCTTTTTTCTCTTCTCTTCTCTGTCTTTCTTTCCTTTCTTTCTTTCTTTCCCATGAATCACCTTTTTTGACCATGCTGAGCCGTGCTATTTTTTTTCCTTTTTCTTTTTTTCCCAGCTTTATTGAGTCATGATTGACAACAATTGCATATATTTAAGGTGCAGAGCATGGTGCTTTGATTCATGTATAGGTTGTAAAGTGAGTACCCCAGTCGAGGCAGTTAACATAGTCATCTCCTCACAGTTACCAGTTTTTCAAGTGTGTGCTGAGAACATTCGAGATGTACTGTCTGCACAAATTCCAAGTGTACACGATGGCGTGAGTAACTGAAGGTCTCTAGTACTTACTCATCTAAGTACTTCTAGTACTTATTCACCCATCAAAGCTGGGTGCTTCATTTCTGTGCATCTGAGGGTTTGTACCCTTTGGCCACTATTTCTCCTTTTCTTTCACCCCAGCCCCTGGCAGCCACCCTTCTACTCTCTGTTACTGTGATTTCAACCTTTTTTTTTTTTTTTTTTTTTTTTTAAGATTCCACATATAGGTAAGATCATGCGGTATTTGTCTTTCTGTGTCTGGCTTTTTTCACTTACCACAATGTCCTTAAGTTTCACGCATGCGTTGTTGTAAATGGCAGGATTTGCTTATCTTTTAGCGCTGAATCATATTCCATTGTTTGTGTATGTACAGTTTCTTTATCTGCACATCCAGTGACGAACACCTCAGTGATGAGGTAGCTTCCTATCTTGACTGTTGTAAACAATGCTGCAGTGACCTTGGCTATTGTAAATATCTCTTCTGCAGATATCTCTTCCATACTGATTTCCTTTCCCAGTCATGAGACTGCTGGATCATATGGTAGTTCTATTTTTAATTTTTTTGAGAAACCTCCATAATGTTTCCATAATGGCTGTAGTCCTTCCAGATTGCTTAAACATTTTCTCTTTAAGAATTAAGAAGCCTTTGAGCTGCTATGGCAGGAAGATCTCAGCACAGGAGGTGCATGTGTGAGCTTCAGGTTTCTCTGGATTCCAGACAGACGTCTGTGAACTGGAGGTTGTGGGACCTGGCAGCACCCAGCAGCAGCAGTAGTGACAGTTTAGGATGATTGCTCTTCTGTATCGTGTCCTGTTTTAGAAATCCAGGTCATCTGGGCACAGATTGGGATTTTTCCATTACTAGCAGTAGAATGGATCAGCATGATGGCCCAGACTCGTACACACCTGTGTTGGAAGGCTCTGGAAGCCTTGTGCAGACAGGTGAGCGAGCATCCAGCCCTGGGCCTGCCTGCCGGTCGGTGGTGATGAGAGACAGAAAGCCTCTCACTGCCAGCCGGGCGCGGTGGCTCAAGCCTGTAATCCCAGCACTTTGGGAGGCCGAGGCGGGTGGATCACGAGGTCGAGAGATCGAGACCATCCTGGTCAACATGGTGAAACCCTGTCTCTACTAAAAATACAAAAAATTAGCTGGGCATGGTGGCGCGTGCCTGTAGTCCCAGCTACTCAGGAGGCTGAGGCAGGAGAATTGCCTGAACCCAGGAGGCGGAGGTTGCGGTGAGCCGAGATCATGCCATTGCACTCCAGCCTGGGTAACAAGAGCGAAACTCCGTCTCAAAAAAAAAAGAAAGCCTCTCACTGCCAGCCCAGTGTCCGGATTTCAGGATCCTCAAGCCTTCAGGGGACAGCGTTTGATCACAAAGATGCATATTCTAAAGCAAGCTTTCTTTTGAGCTGTAATTTACCAAAAAATAAAAATAAAATTAAAAAAAAGAAGAAGAAGAAGAAAGAAAGATAAGACATCCCCTTAATATCAGCTAAACACATCACAGCCAGTTTGGAAACACTGCGTTTAAAGTGAAGTGTATTCCACGGTGAACGGGAAGGAGCCGCCAAAGTTGTCAGCAGTTCGTATTTTCCCATCTGTGTCTGGGGAATGACTATGCACATTCCTTGAAAACAGCCTTTTTAACAAATAGTTTTTTACTCCTTAGTGAAAACAGGATTGTTAAAATATCTAAAAATTAGCCTTTATACACTTGTAGATTTTGTTCCCTAGACAAATTTATGGTCTAAGGATTAAACAGAAAATAGAAGAGTTGAATATACCACTAATTTTCTTGCATTTTCTTTCCCTTTTTTACAGATTCCTATGACCCTAGCAGAGTGGAGAGGGTGTGAGGAAATGCTGGTGGAGCTTGCCTTCCATTGCTAATTGAGTATTCTCAAGTAGCTGGTAGATTTCGTCTATCAGCCCCACTTCCCCATGTAGAAGCTGGAAGCTGCCAGGTTTTAGCATCCTGGTAACATTCTTTACTACTGCCACTAGGAACCTTGCCACCCTCTCAGAATTGCTTTGTGGCGATAGAGCAATCGTCCGTTGAAACCATCTGTTTTTATAGCACGAAGATTTAATGCCTGTGATTAGGAAGGAGTTTTCACAGAAACTCTCCCTCATGGGAGATTTGACCAAGCTGGTAAATAGTTTGGTGTTGCTCTTGTTCTGGGTGAAGATTTGAATGTGGAAGGTCTAGCAAATGCTTTGGAAAGGCCCGTGAATGGTGTGCGCCCCCTCTGTGTCTCCATGGCCTGCGATCCGTGCTCCTGTGAAGGAGTTGGGGACACAGGCCATTGCCTGGCGTTTCAGCATTTTCAGTTCAGGGGAAATGTGAATCAATAGGTATGATCCATTTCTAATCAATTTGGCCTTCTGCTGCTGGAAGTAACTTTACTTATAAGTAACTTGCCATCAGAGAATAAAAGCAATATCTTTTAAGTTCCTAAAAAGTTAAAACTCGTACTGTAATATACTAAGAGTATTATTTATCTGGCAGTGAAATATTTTGATCATTTGCAAACATGCCATTGTCTGCTTTGCACTCAGTATTATCTATTTTTATTTTCTGTATGGGTATTTAGAAATTCTTTATATGAAAAACAATTGCTGGTTTAAAATAGACCATTTTAACAAAGTGACTATATTTCTTTTTACAAAAATGCTATTTTTCTATGATGTAAACAATTGTTAGGCAGCAGATTTTTAAGGAAGTATTATTTTATTTAAGAGTCTGTATCCCTTCGTGTGAGAGGAACCCAAAGAGGGTTCACTTTTGCTTTAAAGCTCTGTCCCTTACCCATTCACAACTCTGCTACTTTTATTTTATCTTAGAAAATGTCAATATAGACATATCACAGGGTTAATAAAATAAACTTTTCACAAAGATTTTTTTACAAATGTAGCTATCAGGTTATATTTGAAAATAACCCTCTCAAAACCAGCCAACATTGTTATGACAATTTTTGCTGCCATATCAACTAGAATTACCAAAAAAACCCATAGTTTTATCTTTGTATGTGTGTGGGGATCCCTGAGACCATATGTTTCTCTCCACCCCGCCACCCCACCCCTTTAAAGAAATATGTATTTTTATCTAGAATGGTCCTGAATTAGTCTCTGCGTATTTTTAAAAAGTGCTTGGGGACATTATATATATGCCATTTCAAAAGTATTATGAGGCCTATGTATCCTACTGTGTTTAATATTGCATTAACCTGCACAAAGTTCATACATTTTTTATGCATTTTTCTCTTTCTTTCTAAGTAAGATATTCTTGATAACTAACATTCCCTAAATCATTTCTTGTGTCTCTCTCACTCCCTCCTGCCTGCCTCCCTCCCTCCCTCCTTCCTTCACTTTGTCCTCCTTTTCCTTTTATTTTTTCCCCTTCTCTTTCATTTTATTTTCTTTTAGAGAAACCACCTTATCTATTTTTAGACATTTCAAATTCCTAAAATGTGAACCATTGGGTGATCTGTCGTTTGGCCCTAAAACGGCTGGCTGGACTCTCCTGGCCTGTTCTCATCTGCACCGTACCATTTTATTTCATAAGAACTTCATGTATTTGGACTGTAACGAGCAAAACAGAATCTAAGTCGTCCCGAACAATCTTTCCAAATCTTTTCAAAACAGTCATCTGCAGTCCAGAATTCAGCTCTTACGAAAAGTTATACTGCGCTCCAGTTTTCACAGCGGCAATTGTCGGGCTGGACAAAAACTTCCTCTTCCTAGAAAAAATCCAGTAGGGAAGAGTTGGGACACTGTTGTAGTTGGTGAATCATTCAAGTTACCTGGTAGTACCAAGTCAGGGCTGAGGCACCTGCAGGTCTTTGTGGGGTCTTACTTCCCTCTTTTTCTTTTTTTTTTTTTTTTTTTTTTTTTTGAGAAGGAGTCTTGCTCTATCGCCCAGGCTGGAGTTGCAGTGGTGCAATCTCAGCTCATTGCAACCTCTACTTCCTGGGTTCAAGTGATTCTTCTGCCTCAGCCTCCCGAGTAGCTGGCACTACAGGTGCGTGCCACCACACCTGGCTAATTTTTCCTATTTTTAGTAGAGACGGAGTTTCACTGTGTTCGCCAGGATGATCTTGATCTCCTGACCTCGTGATCCTCCTGCCTCGGCCTCCTAAAGTGCTGGGATTACAGGCGTGAGCCACTGTTTCCGCCCTTTACTTCCCTCTTTAAAAGCAAACGTAAGAAGGTATATGTATGTATACATTTATATACATACACATATATATACACATACTTGTTGATACCATCTAAATGCTTCTTTGAATCAAAATAACTTAATTTTAGCTCATTTCTCAAGAGAAAGAGAAGGATCCCCAAGGAAAAAAATACTATAGTACGTTCTGTGATTCTCAAACCAAAATATGATGCCCTTCTGTTTTGTTATCTTAAATTGTTGTATCGTATCTTTCTGAAACCATTCTGAATTAAGTTGAAATTATCAGTATTTATACTTTAATTGTTCTAAATTTAAGCCTACATGTAAATCTTCTTTTAGGGGAAGGCAACTTTATAAGCTTAACTTGAAATTTTGACTTTTAACCTTTCATATTCTAAGGTAAATAATAGCCTATAATCAACAACAGCTTTCCCAGAGGGGTCTTGAATTTAACACTAATTATTCAGTTATTGTTTCTCTTTCTCAAACATACATAACTCCGTTATTATTTGTGGCTGGAAGAAAAAGTTTTTGTATTTTGTTTTTGTCTTTATTTCATGCACACAGTTTATTGCTGATGTTGAATAATTTGGAGCTCATAAAATTAAATTAAAAGTTGTAATTTTGACCATTTGGACTGAAAATTACATGAGGAATTACATATGCATTGTATTAGTATTTCTTGAGTTTGCAAAAGAAGGGGAAAATGATGGTAATTTGGCTCAAATTGCCTTTCTTTGAAAAATTTCTGAATGACTGAAAACCAAATATCTGTATTATCGCTTTCAACCTCATGTTTCTGCAGACTACAGAAAAACTCCTCACTGACCGTGCGTCCAGCCCCTGATTGGGTCTTCAGGATTATGTTCATGCGCATAACTGCTTGGATTTCTTCTTTAAAGTCCCTAAAACATGAATCTGTTGTTTGAGATCTTGGTTTCCTTAGAGTTGTAGGTTACGGTTTTCATTCACGTGAAAATTCTAAGTCGAACTTACGCTGCTCCATTTTACTGTTGGTGAAGGGCCATTGTTAATGCAAGTTTAGGTTTCGAAACTCAAATGACTCTAAAACCAGACCCTGACCATTTTTTGCAGCAGCAACATGACTTACTCTGACAGCATCTCGGTTTAGGGCTTCTGAAGAAAGAGGATGAAGCTCATCTGTTGAAGCAGCTACTTTTCCAACTCAGAGGCAGAAGGGGCTGGTGGAAGATAACATTCACCTACCATTTCATCTTGTGACCCCCCCACCCCACACCCAGAGATCATGTTTCAGTGTTCTGGCTCAGTTTTTTTGTTATTATTTGTTTGTTTTAAATGATTAAATAATAGGCAATTAAGTGTCAGGATAGCATCTCTTGCAAAGTGACCAGTGCAGCAGAGTTGTCTATCCGCCTTTGAGCTTAGGGAAACATTTCCCACATCCTAAGTTGGTAGAAGTTTGGGAGCACTGTTCTGCCAGACCCATCTGTGCAGGGGAGATGAAGCTGAAGAGATAGGATGTGGGGCGGGAGTATGTTTCTTAAGCCAAAGCTGTTGCAGGCCTGGGGGATTTTTGCATTTTCCTTTTGTTTTGTTTTCGATTGCAGATTCTGTACATCTGTCTGTGGGAGGAGAGTTGCTACTCAGGCCAGGATTTAAGAGACATTCCAGTGACCTTTAAGAGGTGCCTGGCGGGAGGACCTCCAGGAGTGTGGGTTGGTCCACTCTGGGACCCACCACGCTAAGGGGGGGATGATAAAATAACATGAAAGGAAGAATGGCCTCCAGCCTGCACGTTTTGTTGGAAAGAAATCAAAAGGGAGTGATGAAGACCGTAAATTCAGATTGAGTCCTCCTGAAAAGGTTGACGCGGGCTAGCAACCTGCCCGTCGAAACAGTCCTTGCTTCATCAGCAGTGTGGGGAGGTGGTCCAGGCTCCTGCAGATTCCTGGCTTTGCCCTCGGCAAGCCTCTGTGATACTTGTGTGTACGAACACAGCAGAGGACAGGGAGGTCCTTGTTCTGTGGTCTCTGCTTAGTGACTGAAACTGAAACCCAAAGGCAAGCCCAGAGTGTCTGGCCGTTCATCCCCATGCCTTGATGGGGGTGAGGAGGAACGTTTTCCGTATGAAAGGCAGGTCCTGCTGGGGCTTACAACTAACCACCCTCCTTCACCCCTGCCCCGCGGCAGGGCCGAGATGTGAGACATTCATGGTCATGGAGCAAGAAGACAAAGGCAAGTTCAAGTTGAAAAGCATATGGCAGCAAACAAATGAAAACCATATGTCCCGGCCAGGGGGAAAAGCAGTCACTTCCAGATTATAAAAATCAGTGAAGTACTCTCCACCTGGGTCAGCTGAAATTCGAGCCCTCACAGTCAGGCCTGTCAGAGAAGCTAAGCAGAAACATCTCAGGGGGTCGGGAGAACTTCTAAAATTTGGTGAAGACAAGGCCTTGCAACCCCAAAGAAACGGTTTTTTCCCTTACAGCGGGGTCTTGCTCTGTTGCCCAAGCTGGATTGCAGTGGCGTGATCATGGCTCACTGCGGCCTCAAGCTCCTGGGCCCAAGCGCTCTCCCCACCTCATCCTCCCTAGTAGCTGGGACCACAGGTGCGTGCCGCCATGCCCAGCTAACTACAGAAACTTTCATTTGTTCATTCTTTCTTTGGGCACTATTAATACCTAAGGCAGGTAGAAAGGGTCCTAGAAAGACAATTGGCAATGGCCGATTGCTGGCTGCAGTCACTGCCCCCAGATCAGGCTGGTACAGGATGCCTTAAGGTGACGAGGTGAGGGTGCGTGAAGAATAATGAGCACAGGGAACAGAGAAGCAGGACAAAGTAGCAGATAAATACCGGCAAAGCACTGATGAATGTCTTCAAGGAGCTCTTGTGTTTCTCTGCACAATGTAAATACCCTTGCTATTTCAGGATGGCGGCTGGCCTGCTCGGTAACACACATGTTCCAAATAAAGATTTTGCATGAAAGTACCTGTGTCCATTGTCGTTGACTGTGGGTGCAAGAGCTGCCCTGGACGCTGGTTCCTGAAGGGCAGTGGGCTGCAGGGAAGCAGCTCAGATGGTGTGGGTAACGCAGGGACAGGTAGTCCACAGGGTTCCAGCACCATGGGTCTCCACTGGGATTTCTCGGGAGGTAAAGCTCCTGTTTATGTCTCCCCCAAGGCTTACTCATGTTGTGGAAAGAGGCCTAGAGTTAATTCAGGGACTAGGTGCGAATGTTGACTCTCACTAACCACGTGGCTCACTGCGGCCTCAAGCTCCTGGGCCCAA